TCGCCACCAGGCAGTTTGCCACCAGGCAATTTGCCACCAGGCAGTTCGCCACCAGGCAGCTCGCCACCAGGCAGCTCGCCACCAGGGAGCACCACTAGGCAGTTCGCCACCAGGCAGTTCGCCACCAAACCGCCATCAAGCAGTTCGTCACCAAGTAGTTCTCCCGCAGGGAGTTTGCCACCAAGTAGCTCATCACCAGGGCACGTCACCACCGAGTCAAACAACGAGGTACTTAGCCAAAAAATTTATACATCACAAAAAATGGTACGTGACCAAAAACGGTTACATCAGGTTGGTTTGGTCGGTTTGCATTGTTTGTGAACAATCCTAAATTTGGTGTAAAATTTTCTACTCAGAAAAGGAAAACAATACTAAAGACAAAAGTAATTTCCATTTAACTTATTTTTTTATTGTTCTTTAATGTTAAAAATAAGTAATTAACTAGAAAGAAGAAACTGGGATAGGGATTACCTAGTTAGGGAAAGACTAGGAAATCAGAAACTAACTAATTCAGTTTGATTTTGGTTTTCACACATGAAAACCGAAACTGTACCAAATTATCAGTTTATCCCTCTTCACAACCCGAAACTGACCAGTGGTGAAGAAAAACCAACCAAATCGGGTTGGGTTGGGTCGGTTTGGTCAGTTTGGCATTGTTTGTAAACAACCCTAATATCTTTATATATTGATTTTGGGTAACCTTTTGAGCCCCAAGGGGCCAAAGGCACCTTGTCCTACTATTTTCACAAAAAAAAATTGGGCCTTAAATTGTAATTTTTAACATTTTTTACAAATAAAAAATTAAAAACTGAAATAAATATATAAATTATACATAAACTAATATTTATATATACATATATTATATCTCAAAAATGATTACACATTTTTATTGATAATATACTTGTGTAGACATACCTACACACATATATACATTTGTTGATGTGGCATGGTTTGACAGGTATTCAACCCTTTTTTTAAAACAACAACTGGATATTCAACCCTTTTTTAGGGTAAATTGCTGAAACCTCCCTAAAGTTTGGTAATTGCAATCACCTCCCTTGAACTTTCTAAACATAGTTGGAAGCATTCCCTCTCTCTTAGAATCCTCTAACAAGAGGCATGAAAATATCCAAAATACCCATGCCATTAATTTTGACCATAATATTTATTTCCAACTCTTCACATCAATTGCTACCTCAAACCCTTCCAATCCCTTTTCTGAAATTGATTTATTTTCCTAAGTTTCCCTCAATATCAATTGCTCAAAGGTAAAGTTGTGACCTTAAACTCTTTTTTTGTTGTTAATTAAGTTTTCATTTCCTTTTTTTTTCCTATAGACACTAGTCTCAATAGTAATTGCATGGGTATTTTGGACATTGTTGTGTCTCTTGTTAGAGGTTTCTAATAGAAGGGGTCTACTTACAACTGTATCAAAAAGTTTAAAAGAGGTTTTAGTAAGGCCTTGTTCATTTTCACTTACTTGGGTAAGCGATAAGTTTACCCCGCCGGTCAAGTGTTTCCCGAGCAAAAGTTGCTTGAGAAAGTTTTGTGACAATGTTCATGTGTGTTCTCACTTACCTGGGTAAAGAGAGAGGCGGGAGGGAATTAGCATTTTCAGCATAAGGGTAAGCAACTTAGCCACCCCCCAGGAGGGTATTACTGTCCAGAAATTTCATTTTCCATGGCCCCCCTATGGTCTAGAAATCCCCCACTAATGAGTAATACAATTTTTTCATGTAAACTCCCCACTCCCCAACCCAATGGTTGGTCCCCTCTATGGGCCATTTACATTTACTCCCCCTTTTCCCTAATCCACTTTAGGTTTTGGCCCCCTCATAAAAATTTCCTGGTTCCACCTCTTTGTATCAGTCTATCCATGTGCACGTCTCTATGGTCATCCCTATCAGGGCAGCCTTTTCCCAAACTTTGAAAATTGTCATACCCTTTTTGTATCGGTCTATCCATGTGCGCGTCTCCATGGTCATCCCACAATATATACAATACTTGATATAGATACTTTAATCCTTAATCCTTGTTTGCTTTCTAGTTTTCACATCTTTCTAATCTATCAATATATATATCCTAAAAGCTGTTTAGACCTGGGAGGCCATTGTTGGCCAGTACAACATGCTCTACCGGTACAATTAGTTGGTTTAGAGAGTGCAGCATATCATAGCTAGACTTTAGACTTTTGAATTGCAATTAATTGAAATAGTTTCTGTCTCTACATTTAACCACCCAAGCCCTTTGAAATTTCAAAAAGCAACTCATTAGTCATTACACTGCCAAGCAAAATCAGCTGGAAGTTGACAACAAAAACAAATTCGAATCGTTTTACTCGAACAAGGCCTCCAACTCCCAAGCAGACTAGCTCGGTGGAAAAAAAAATGCATATTACGCATCCTAATTCCCATGATAGAAAAACAAACACCCAGAGAAATTTGAAGAAAGAAAAACAAAATAGAAAATATTTACATTGATTCTCTTCAATACGAAGACAGTTGACGAGAAGCTGCCAGAGACTTGTAGATTTCAAGGATCAACCTCATCTCAAATTCTTCGTTCGAAGAAACTGTCTTCACCTGCCTAGCCTTTGGAATTCTCTTGTTTCCGAACATGTTGTTGTTGTTCAGGTAGCCAACGTTGCCAGCCAATTTAAGCATCATATTCATGTAAGCTTCTTTCAGTCTCACCAACACCTTCATCGGCGAAAGCATCTTTAGTCGCAACCTGGGTATCGGTCTTATCTTCCAAACCCGCCGAGTATTACCTCCGATCATCACTATCTTCATGTTCTTCCTTCCGGTGGTCGATCCCTCGAGCCGATGGTATCTTCTCCTCCTCCAGTACCTCTTCAAGCTCCCATAAAATGGCAAAGAAAGGCTCTCCATCCTCTTTTTTTTCCTATTTCTTTTCTTCTAATTCTTATTTAGGCCAAGTTCTGGTAAAGAGACAGGGAGATTATTAGGAAGAGAGAAGGTGAATATGGAAACAATAATTCTGAGGCAAAGATAAGAGAACCCCTTTAAATAGCCTGATTTAGTGGTAGATGCTATAGGTCTGACAAAGAACAATAATCTAATAAATAAAGAAAATGAGTTCTATCTGATCACAGCAAAGGCCCTCCAACCATTTCCCAGCAAGCGAAATTCTCATCCATGTGAGTCAACAAAGCCGGTCTGGCTATAATCAAATCATCTCGATTTCAATAAATAAATAAGAGCATATGTCATTGGGCTTTCGTCGACTAATATGCCAACAGCCGAATTTGACTGCTATTTAGACGTAACTCAAGGTTGGTGGCGACGATTACACACTCCCATGAGGTAGATAACATTGTCACGCTTTACTATACTGCTCAAATTCGTCCTACTTTGGCTGAGAGGAAAAACAGGAAAAGGATACAAACAGAGGTTTCTAGATGATTTATTTTCTTTATTTTTTGGGTTGATTTTCTAAAATAATTTTGACCTTTTGATTGCCGCCTTATATCTGTGCCAGTCGTATGCAATCTTTTGAAACGTAGGTTGGAGTCTGGAGTCTGAATCAGTGAATCTTCTCCAATTTGGGCTTTGAGCTCAAAACCTCCTTAGTCCTCAAAGACTTCTAGCTAATTAAAAGAGGGCAAGAAACTATATTCAGTTTAGCTATTTCAGCTGTTACTAAAAAGCCATTTAATGTAAAACTCGGTCGATCTCTGACCAACAGATGGACTGACTTAAGCCGAGATCTCAACTCAACTAGTAGGCCAGCCCAGAAATACAACTATTTTATGGCACAGAAGCGCACCTCACACCGACCTCAAAGCCTCGATATTAGGAACATCTTCCCATGGAATTGGGATTTATTCCTCACAAAGCAGGCCTCACGCCTACCTCACAGCTACATCCCACTTTATATTGGGAATATCTTCTCATGAATAATAAATATAAATACCGGAGATGTTGCTCGTATACAGTTAGGACATGCTATGAAGTCAGTGTGAAGCATGTTCTGTGAGGAGCAGATCAGAACTTTTTCCCATCAAAAACGACATGAAGTGCAGATATATTTCTCATGTGTGACTGAAACGCATTGTGAGATCGGTGTGAGGAGCAGATCAGAACTCCACCCCATGAAAAACAACATAAAGTACAGGATATATTTCCCATGTGTGGCTGAAACACATTGTGAGATCGGTGTGAGGAGCAGATTAGAAAGGAGCATATCCTAACTCCTACACAAGGTAGGTGGGAATATTGTAGGTCTCCATGCTTTAGTTTACCTTAATAATGCAACTGCATTTAAAAACTCTCTCTCTCTCTCTCTCCCCTCGGGTTCCTTCGAATTAGGGGTGGCCATGAGCCTTTTATGAGCTATTCGAGCTCTGTTTAAACAGAGTTTCGAGTCAAATTTGAGCCTGATATATAGGCCCGTTTGCTAATAGAGTCGAGCTCAAGCCTAGTGAAGTTCGGCTTGTGAGGCTCACGAGCCTAGTATTAAATAAATAATTTTTATTACATACATACATACAAATATATATATATAATAAATAATTTTATTATATATAATAATATTTTTATTAATATAATATTTTTATTTTTTATATATAATAGTAAATAATTTTTATAATTCTTAATTTTTTGTCTAAAAAATAAAAATAATTATATATATATATATATATAATTTTTATTTAAAAAAAAAAACTTGACTTATAGTTGAGCTCGAGCTGAACCAAACTCAAACTTGTGAGCTATAAACCGAGCCGAACTTGAATTCAAATCTCTAACTCGAATTGAACTCGAATAGCCAAATATTCAATTCAGCTCGGCTCAAATCCACCCCACTTCGAATGATATTTTAAGTCTCTTGACGACAAATAGGAAAGTACATGGTACTCCCCTCACCCATTTTCTCAAAACCAAATAAGCAATCAACCATCTAGATGTTTTGACCACCCAATTGTAGCAAAGACCATTAGCTAATTTTCATCCACAGGAGATGTCAAAATCTTGTCAACCTCAGGTTTTGTACATGTAGTATGCCCATGTAATGTTCTTGCCATGTGCAGGTTTCAAAGATGAAAAGGACATAAATCAGCTCAATGTTTGACAAAACGTCTACAGTCCAACAACACCAACAAGTCCGATTTGAGAATAGGTTTATAAACGGATTAGGTTGATTTACTTGGATTTTAGATTTCAATTCAGTCCTGTTAATATTCAACTTCGATTGGATTCAGATCACAGACTACTTAAAATAAATTACAAATAGCTTGCAGGAGAATTATATATAATGAAAGTACGATAATAAACAAAATTTATAGATAGATAGATATATCCTGATTTTGTATAGACTTTTATACAAATACTAAAATACTATCGAACTTAGAATTTAAATTTTAATTGAGCAAAAGCTCGTTTATAAGGAGAAAAACTTTCTTGGGTTTCAGATGAATTCATCTTATCCTAAGAAACCACAGAATAGTAGATGAATTATTAATTATTTAGGTTCCATTTATTTGCGATACAAACATCGAACTGGGGTATTTATGTACTCCGGTTTGCATTTGCAAGTGTTTATTTGAGATACATAGATGTATCAATTATAAGCATAAAAGTGTATTTTCTGACAGGATTGTATCATTCGAAGAGTGCATTACTGCATCGATTTTTTGGATGCAAACTTGTACTCTTCGATTGACGATGTAAATAGGGTATGCTTTAGTGCTTTTCGACTGTGAAAGAAAATAGCCAATCGGTGCTGAGTGAGAGGAGATCTTCTGCGCCCCCTCTTCCAACGGTAACTTTCTCACCTCCATCTCCGACCATGGCATGGTCGTCGGTGATCGGCGATCAGTATGTTGATCTCCTCTTGTGTTTAAACTGACTTGTCTTTGCTATTTTTATGTTCATGTCGTTTAGGTTGCAGGGTTCCTGCCAATCTTCATTTGGGTGGTTGATGGCCGGGGTTCCTACCAATTTGCATGTTCGATCTTCATCTGAGTTGAAGTCTTTACTTCGAACTAAACAAGATAATACTAGATCTGTCTTGAACTTCACAGATCTGATGTATAAATCCATCTTCGCTCATACACACGTACATATCTGATATTTTGCTTCGACTAATATTTTTTTTTTCATTTTTTTGTTGCTTCTTTCTCAGATTCATGTATAAAAATCCAATTTGCATGTTCGATCTTCACTAGTTTACTTTTACCGACTCACAGCTGAACTTGGGTGATAAAATCCATCTCAGGTTCAAATATATCATATATAAATAATCACATATCAAATAATGGACGGTCCAATTTGCATCGATATCATAAACGCCAGCAAATTTGTACCCTCATTTATATCAATTCCAAACGAACGAGAAAAATACAAAAACAAGACTAACATGTGAACTGGCATTGCATTCATAAACCGGGATGAGGACAAAAATGCAGGGTACATATTTGCATTTGTATCGGAAACAAATGCAGCCTTAAGCAATTGAAGGCTTCAAAGCTCTTGCACGCATCTTCGCTTACATCAGTTAGTTAGTCCCGTATATCATGTTTAGTTATTAGTTGCTGCCATTAATTCGAGGGAGAGTCAATCAATTGTCGAATACTTCAATCTGTTTTTATTTTTTATTTTTGGCTGTTAGTTTTTGACTTAACATCTAACAAGAAACTGCCTGTAATTAATAAGCAGACACCGAAAATTGAAAATACATATAGACACCCATTTTTGACATGTGTTCCGTGCATGTTCGATGACCACACAATAGAAGACGATAGCTGTTTATTTTGAAGTCAAAACATCAGTCATCTGTTTTAATTTGATGACTGACGTGTCTATATTTCACAGATGGGTTGTGTAGGAAAACCTAGCACAGACTCCTTTAAAGAGTAGCATCAGTGCTGGAGATGAGATTAGCTAAATGCGATGGATGACTATGTTAGATGATGCTGTGTAATCAATAACAATGCATTCCCGTTCAGTTAATACCAACTCTCGATGTTGAATGATTGATTGATCTGGGTGGATTGAGCCGTTTTGGAGAAATTAAGATAATTTTATAGGAGAATGGTGCGTGGTTCAGTTCAGGATCAGAATTTGTAGGCTCAAAGTACATTTAGGGTAGGTGCTAGTTTGAAATTGATGTCAATTTATAGATAGGTATAGATGCATAAAGTGTGGATTTTGGACATTTTAGATGTTTATAACTCTGAAGTGAAAATCAGAAATCTGTCTGTACTTCTCTATAATTTTCTCCCATGAAAGTCGATTTTTTAACATGTAAATCAATCCGTTTTCTGTTTTTTTTTACCGAATATGGCTTATTAAAAAGATCTTGGACCTTTCTGCTCACCGATCGTCTGCCTGAAAGCCCTCCCAAATGGGGACTAAGAAAGTATTACAACTACAATTAGTTAGAAAAATTCTTTGCTGTCTACAGCTACAGACTACATGAAACGTTTGAAGTTGGTATCATTTTTGGCTGTAGTCTGTAGTTAGAAAAATTTTTTGCTATTCGTTCATGAAACTTCGGGGTTGATCAATAGAAATTGGTGTTAAAATGTCATGTCATGTAATGAAAGATATCAATACAAATTGTTGTTGTTACTTGAAACATCATTTTTTTTCAGTTGAAACGATTCTCTTATGGAATGTGACAATTCCTCTTTCTAGCCAATTTATATTAATCAACCTCAAAACATTTCATGAAGAAAATGCAATGATAGTAAATACAATTTTAGGCCCCGTTTGCTTTTCGGTAAATTATTTACTCAGGTAAATGCAATTACCTGGGTAAGTTTTTCCTCGGAAACATTTATCTGGGTAAGTGCATTTATCCATATTCTTTTATTTCTCATGTAAATAAGACAATGATCATTTTAACTATAAAGATCTATTATTAAAAT